CACTCACGAAGGGTCAATCAAAACTTCCGGTAAACATTAATCGTTAGCAACTGATCAAGACCGATTGAACAGGTGCATTTTCGGTGATTTGATTTAGATCACCAAATGAGTTTACTGTCATGAAACTCAACGTCCAAATGTTTCCGTAGGTCAGCTTTAGGCATAAAAATACAGATGAAAAGTCCTTCTATAATAGAGAGATTCTTAATTCCTCCGAACTTGGTTATCATGGTCTGCGTTTAGTGAACTGTCCTGAAGGGAGTTGAAACACCAAACGTGTCGCTGGTGCAAAGAAGATGGAAGGAAACGGAAGTGTTTACGTTTTTTCATGCGTCCAGCTTCTTTTGTGGATTTACTGAGAAAGGAAACATGAAAATAAGATAAGTTAAATTCCACTATTTCATATGCCTCGTGTCGGTTTAGGTGCAATCAGAATTAAGGTTAGGTCAGCACAGAAAGACACAAGCCAGTAAGACATTTTTGAACGCAAAGTTCATCGGAGGCCAGAACAGGTTGGATAAAAGTACTAAGACTGTGAACGTGATTCAAAGCTCACCCTACCAAGTCAAGTGGATCACAGCCACCAAGTATCTACCACGCTGACCGTTTCTCCAGGTATGCGGCTTTGTAGTTGCTCCATTGTTTTTTACAAACACGCGTTGGTTTTATTACGAAGGTGTTTTTCCTTTACTCAAAGGCGGGATGGCAAGTGAAAACTGTATTTAACGTTGCAGGATTCAACGTTCTGGCAACCATCTTTTATAGACTTTTATGATCATTTATGGTCACACCGCTTTACTACTTTTACTGACCTTGAGAAGATGTTGGAAAAATGAATGGAATTATTCCAGACGTTTCATTCTCTAACCAGTTTGGACGTTCCATGGACTATGGTTACATGAATACGCCTCGGCCTGCAAGCGGCTGCTTCTGTATTTGCCTTCAAAATCTAGTGTACGGGTTTTTTGTTAATTCTAGACGCCTAGCATGCCATTATTTACAAACGACTATTCAGTTTTTATTCAACATCACCATGTGTTTCCATTTTCACTTTCTTCCCCTGCCTTCAATCCCTCCTCCCTCTTTTTCTATCCGGCCAATTGTGCTATCAATGTTTTGGGAAACACCGCCTGTTGGAATGATCTCGTCTGGGTGTCTGTGAATGTGTGCATACACCGAACAATATATAACTTGCATATTTGCAATGCGGAATGCGAAACTAATTTCTTGCACCTATTTAGCGAATCGGTTCCCGAAGACCAATCCACGCATGACGCAGTGGAAAGTGACTTGAACGTTGGCTATGGAAGCACTGGTTCTTTGGGCTCAAAAACTACTCGCAGTAGTTCAGCCCTGAAAGTCAGGTTTCAAACCCTGGCACATGCTGTTCGGTAAATGTTTTTATTCATGTTCAACCAACTTAAACAAACTGCCTTAAACATTCATGAAAGGATCGCATTCACATTTTACATTTCCCTTCGGACAAAGATCGATCAGGCTCTTTGACTGTTTTCAAATTAGTTTCTTTCCAATCGAGTAACAAGATTACTCCGAAATTCTAAAAGTTCTCCAGCGTTCATGAGTCCGCAAATCTTAAATAGGAAATGAATTTACATAACAGCGGAAGCTGTTTTGTATGAATAAATGAAATTCTGACGATCACAGCTTGGAATGAAGTGAATACATCGTGTTAACCCCTGAAATGTAAACAAGAGTACCTGTAACTTGTCAAGTGATAAGAGGGAATCAGCAGATCAATTGCAACGAACGATTCTGGAGAAAATTTGGGTTAGAAACTTACATTTCCTTGGCATATGACTGATTTCACCTCAAACTCGCCAAGGAAGACAGCAAACTGAACTGGTATTCTCATTCTGTGGCTTCGGTGGCCCGGGCTAAACTTTGTCAAGTGAGTAACCCCGAAAAAGGAGGAAATGAGGCAAACTGTAATAGCAAACTAAGCACCATAAAAGCGGTTTGCATGTGACATTTTTGCGACGAGGTTGGCTGAAATCACACTTTCTCATTAGCTGTGATTTACGCTTTTGAGTTAGCGGATGCCTCAGGTTATTTCCTCTGTGTGCATGCTTCTGCAGGCTTTTACCGGAAGTTTTGCTTGACCGCATGAATCGACATCAGAATTTCGTATTTGGTCGAAAGCATATTTTCCGTGTCCCTCATGAAGAGAACACTTGAGAGGTTACTACATGATTTCGACCGTCGCTAACTCACAAAAGTCAAACGAAGTACGGTCTAAAGCCTAGCAATATTTTGTGTCTGTGGCCAGTTTGGTACTTATTGGTTGTGGGCCTGTCCAACGATGGAAAGGCTTCTTCTATATCTGCGTTGAATTCAATCTTTCCTCAAGGAAATGTCGCAGCCAGTTCAAAGAGAACTGTATGATCCCCAAAGCATGAATGCACATGTAAAGATAGTTCCAAGTAGGTCACTTAGCTAATCTCAAGGAACCATGGTTTTAAAGGGATCGTTTGGTTACAGTAAAGTTTTATATTTAAATCTGTTTAGGAGAACTGAACTTCCTTAAATCTGTTGCCTCTAATTGCAGGTTTCCTAAACGCCTGACTTCTTCAAGAACAAACATTTCACTAGCAGTCTTCTTGGAAATTTGCGACGACTTGCACGCCGAAGCTCGTGCACCACATTGAATGCACATTAGATCGACCGAATTATTCACCCTCAATGGCGCGCGTCAGCGAACACGTGACATGCGACCTATGTCATGTGTCAGAAGTTCAGATGTCGGAGCAGATGAGCGTCTCAACTGCCGATAAGCTCCGGGTGACGCTTAGGTTCGACAATCCCGAATAAAAAACGGAAGGGTTGCGTTTAAAATTCTGCGATACTATTTACACAATGATAAGCGGATTTGCACAACAAACCACAGTTGTGCACGTTGGCAAAGTCAACAAGAGCACAAGTTTGTCACCAACCGGCACAATGCAGCGTCGACGTCCGCACACTTAAATAATTTGGGCGGAATGTTGACTCAGTAGTGTGCTGTTATCATACCTTCCGGCGACACTCTCTTGATTCTGAACTCACGAGTAAACAAATCAGGGCAGACTGGGAAAACGGGACAAGAACGCGCATGAGTAAGTAGGTCAGCCGCGTCCATTTACATCTATACATGCTAATACACAAGCGTTGGACGGGAGTTCTTTGCGGCAAAGTAGGGAGCGGGTACAAATGAGCAAAACATGTGGAGATCAAAAGTACATGAGAGAAGTAAGCAAATGAATGAGGGACTTATCATGAGGTCAATCTATTTTCAGCGAACTGATGCATGTGAAACCTGAGGGAGGCCACTATTCTTTATTGTTCATGTTCTCCTGGACGACATCATATTTGCCACCTAATTTGGGCGCATGCATTCTCCAGTCCGACGCTTGAACGAGACATGCTTCTGTCGCCAAGAGAGTTAGTGTTGACTTACGCCATTTTATCCATTGTTTGCTTTTCAGATCACATCTCAATCTGGCTGCTTCAGAAAGTTCCATTTTCCCAAATGTATCCCCTGAGCCGTCATCAGTCATCACTGACGATGGTAAGTTCATAAGAAGAGAATTTAGGTTGACAAATTCCCTACTGTACCGTCATCAAACACAATCTGGTTCAGCATCAAGCTAGAAGGATGTGAAAATTAAGTTTGTATCCTATGCGGGATTTTCTCTTCTAGCAGTAGTTGTCCAGAAAAACATTCTAGTGGATCAGCTTTGGAAGAAATCATTTATCGATCCTGGCTTTTCCAGAAGGCTGACAGTAGGCATCAGGCATTTTTTTTCGAACAATGAAACTTCGTGGCAGCTCAGTAACACACGGAAGCCTAATGATGATGAACTACGAAGACCACCTTTTTCGAACATGAAACTTCGTGGCAGCTCAGTAACACAGTACAACAACACTGCCTGTGTTGACTGAAACAGTTAGAAAAGTGTCTCAGGTTTGCACTTTAAAATGGTATGGTTGTCATAAATGTCTCATCCGCTTATCGTGTTTTTTTCGATCAATCCTGATTCTGGACTATTTTTTAACAACAAAATAAAGGTCAGGAAGGATTTTGTCCCCGGAATGACAACAACTGAAGCGAAAGAACTGTACAACGTGCATGAGAACCGTGTGGTTCGGTGTGAATCGTTAGGTTTCACAGATGTCCTTCAAACAAACAAACACTAGTTGTTCATATTTTGCTTTCAGTCACTTTTAGTCGCCATAGACTTTCTGTTCCGCTTCAACACCAGCGATGTCAAAGCTTGTGATGTACTTGAGCAGGTTTCCGTCGTGTAATAAGGCATCACTGGCCAAGCCATAAAAAGTATTTACTGATTAGTTATTCAGAGTTTAACAGGATAACAGGGACTCGTAGCACAAGTTTCATGTTCTCACAACAGTCTTCCGTCTTTAACTCACCATTTTGACCGTATAAGCAACCCTGCTGCATTTGGGGGTTACTAAAGAATTAAACTTCGTTGATGAGTGCAGAAAATAGGTGCGATCAGTGACAAAACTCGAAAATTGTTGTACAACTGCTACTGATTTTCTTGAAAGTATTTGTAGACCAGAAGACTACAGCCTTACTAAACTACTTCGCACGGAAGCCTAATGATGATGAACTACTAAGACCACCTGGTTTTGTCGACATGCCGGTGGTTTCCTCAGATCTGTCATAATGTTCCAAAGGGAGAGTTGCCGGTCAGCGAACTTTGAGAAACTAATTAACAACGGGCCATTTGAGTTTTAAAGTACATAGATATGCAAACATTCACAGATCCGCAATTCCAGGGTCCAAAAAATTTTGCTGCATGTTCTGCTCGTCTCAGCAGCAGACGAAATAAAATTGTCACCTTAGGCATCTCTCGGTGTCAGTTTACCGTACACATTGGATCCAATTTTTACTTTCCATAGGTTCAAATGTGGCACAAAGAAAAACGGATAAGCAATTCGCATGATCGTCTTCGTTAGAAACACTAAAAGTTAATTCGGGCATGCTTGAATTACTATCAAAAGACGTCAATGGTACTCGAGAATCCATACTCAGACAATTGTCGAAAAAGATTCATTCAGTTCCCTTGAATATTCTTGGCATAACTAAGGAGAAGCTTCTTACTGATCTGATTGCTTAGCTTTTTGTCGGATAAATGCAGTTCCCCAGAAATTACCGGTCAACTTATATTCTGGTTAAATCGAAACTTCAATGCAGCTCAGCAAATAGCACAGTCCAGCAATGACCAACTGCCAATCACACATCTCTGGATGCACTTTCGGTCGTTTAACCCAATTTGTTTGAGACTTTTTCAGGCCATGTGAATCAGATGGTTTGGTATGCTCCTCTATACCGGTCACTGGATCAGTTCTGGAGGGTCATTCAGTGTAAAATGCATTTTGCCAACACATATCTAATTAGCTGAAACGACCGTCATGTAAATTGATGATCCTCTACTCTTCAAAAGGAGAAACAACTGATTGCTTTGGCATTGCCTGAGTCCAGCGGTCGCCATTCCTGTTTGCTGAGTAGCTAGCGCCTATTTTTCATATCAAATGTATGGTAAAGCTGCAAAGTATTTTAACTTGGCTTTCTATTGGATTATTAAACTTCCTCGGTGAGTTTCGACTGCAAATAATGGTCGACAAATCGGTATTTCTACCCGTGTCGAAATAAAGTCCAGGATTCTTAAAAACCACACTGTTTTTTTTACTTACAATACAATCCGTATTTCAACACTTAGGTATGGAAAGCGCCGACGAGGGTTACAGGATGTTGACCAACACAGAGAAAAACGTAGTCCGATCGATCCGAAAAATCAAATTTTTCGTCGCTCGACGGAAATTCAAAGAAGCACTTCGCCCGTACGATGTCAAGGATGTAATTGAACAATACTCGGCTGGACATTTGGATATGCTTGGACGAATAAAAATATTACAAAGCAGGTACATATGCCACATGATGCATGCCTATTTATCCCAAGGCACTGAACTGCGTTCATTTTTAGAGTTGGAACATCGTGTTGCACAGTGTGTTTTCAGAACAAAGACAATGTTAGCGAACACAAGAGACCAAGATTGCCAAAAATATCCATAGGCTGTTTTTCTTCAGCATGCTTATTTATATCTAGGTTCGGGCGAAAATCTCGGCTGCTTCTTTCGGGCGACGGGCCTTTTTCGACCTCGAATTTTTGGTTTACGCATCATATTTTTCAAATAGGGTCACTGTGTACCTGTATGTTTTACCCCGTAATTGGGTTTAGTTCACCAGTTGCGTACAATTTGGGTAGAACGTGGGGTTGGTGGAAACAGAGGGAGTGTCAACTTGACGTACACTAAGAAGGGTGGAGCGTGTCTTGGGCCGGTGAAGAGTTCTCAGCAGCGCTGTCAGTAGTGCGTTGCTTCAAGGAAATAAACTGCAATCTCTCGAATATCGTCCCAACTGAAAGATGAGTAAGGTCTTGCGCAGTTAAATCAGTTGAATCTTCAGCAGAAGGTCAGGCGTCTTCCATGTGAGTATAATTTTTTGGATTCAGTTTGCTACAATGCTCGCAATGAGTTCATTACATGCATTTAGTTTTCAATCTGACGTGGGGCTTTGGGGATATAAGAATATACCAGTTGGAAAAAAACACTATAGCAAGAGAAAAGTAGACATGGCTTACATGGGAAATCAGTGGACGCATAACGGGGAGGGTAAGAAAAAATGTCATATGGACAAGCAGTTTCCAACGGTAATGCCAGATTAGACATGAGATCTAGTTATTTACACAGATTTGGCTGCATTCGTCTAGTGGCTTCAAATTCAGTGAATTGTACCAGATAATGATTGCACTGTCCGTTAAGACGTTGGAGGTAAATGCAAACGAGTTTGTTGGCGGTTTAGCACAAGTTGGTGCAAGAGCATTGTTAAAGTGTCCACCAACCCTTGTTTGCAGCCTTTGCTTTTTCATCCTGTAGAGTTTTTACACAGATGTACTGACAAGGATTTGTAAAGAGGAAATGGCATGAGTCTCGTGCTCATCCAAGCTTGATTCCGGCAGGTTTTGTGCAGGAGAAACATGCTATGTATGCTTAGTGATACGCTCTACTGAGCTGCAACAACCTATTCGGGAAAACATTACTTTACACATAAAACAAGGACCTCTTCTTTCCAAAAGGAAGAATTTTGAACGCGACCAAGGAAAATTCGATGTGCTCCATTGAACGGAGTCTGGACAAGCGTTTACCTCTGTCCTGTTTGGGAGAAATGTTGGATCCAAGTTAGCTTGTGAAACACGGCAGATTTCGGCGCACCATTTCCTCGGTTTTTAGATGCAAACCAATGGATTAGAATAAGCTTTCCACGTTCGCTTTACTCGCGAACCAACTAGTAGCATGGCAGCGCTTCATTTACTTAGGTAGAATATCCACCTGTTTGGCCGAACTCATCAAAACACCAGGTGTGTAGTTTCGTGCTTGAATGGTTTTAGGAAGTTCAGTTTTTTACAGGCAGTATGAAAATATCAGCATGCAATGTTTTCAAATATTTTTGATACAGGCAAATGCCCGTTTTTATGCATAGAATGAACAGACATTCGATACGTTCAGCTGGAAAACTCACCGCATGGGTATTTTCACACACTAGATCGTTTCAAGTGGCACAGTTTTACAAAATAAACACACGGCAAATAAGAAAGTGTGATTTCCAGTTATTTTGAAGTTGCCAATTTTGAAATCGAAGATTTCTAACAGACCATATACTGTTGATCCAGATCTGGCAAGTTTGATCTCGTTTCTTACAGTCTTGTCGTATCTATCCTGAATGTCTTTTCCGAGGGGCAGTTTGGTTGCTCTGGAGCGTATTGATATGTCAGCGTGCACTTCGATAACTTAAATTTAGTGCATCTATCAAACACAGGTCGCAGTTACTTCAGCGCCGTGCACAAAGACAGATCAGAACAGACCACCGGTAAAGAACATCCCATTTGATAGCACTGTGCTGTCCTACAAAGTTTTTGCTGTTGATACAGTGCTATCGCAACCGTTCTGACACATTCAACAGCTGTCGTGCACTTTATAGCTAATAAAAGTTCCGTTAGGCATTCGTCTTTGCAAACCAGACAGAGATTCAAAAAGTGCCGGGGAATCACAGATGTTATTGAATTTCAAGTTGAAATATTCTTGAGGCCCTGGACCTCTATTCGTTTGGGGAATAGCCACGAAGTAGCATTACGAACATGAAGTCGGGAACTCAGTAAAAATACATGCGAAATAATAATTCTATGAGTTGTCTTATATTCGAATTCTATTAAGCTTCCGGGACAGACGGACTGGTAGCCATCACACACCCATCAAACCAAATGTTCAACCAGCATTCCTGGTGATCCCAGATTTCGCTAGTTTTTCATCTGTCGAAAATGTTCCTGACTTTACCGAGCAACATTTCGAAACTTCGGTACGTCTTACTTATCAATTTTTAACAGTCCCTTGACAAATATGAAAACAATTTTTATATTGTGTAGAACTGCGTTTTACGCTGGTATGCCAACTTTAATGTAACTTAACCTTTCCATCACGGGCACAATTTATGAATGCACTCGTGTTTCACTAAGTGTAATGTATCCATACTGAGAATAAAGTGTAAATGTTTTCCTTCAAACTGAATGAACGTCAATCGAACAAACAAAATTGGTCTCATACACTGTATATGTGTTCAGCATGCCGAAATGTTTACCCTCCTACTGACTGTAGACAGGGTTTAAAGGGTAAAAGTTTGCCCTTGAATATCTGATCCGGCGAACGTCACTATATCACACAAAGTTTAGGGATAAAAACGCACACTTGGGGCTCTCCGCTCCATGGGAATTCGCAAGGTGGGTGTAATTACAGCTGGGTACCGAACCCTTGGTCAGTATTTTTAGGCTGCTTTCCGAAACTCACGAGCCAGCTAACTGGCCTTATCTGGCTTGGACTTCATACCTTACTTTTTTTTTGCCACTGTCCTCTCAGTCAGTGCTCTTTTTATGGCCCTCTATTCAGCAATTCCATTCGGCCAAAAAGGTGTAATATATTTAGGAATATGAGGTGGTCAGAATCCCCACAATGAAATTAAATTTTCGAAATCCACGACGTGTCTCTGATGGACAAAAACAGACAGGCAATTGGTTCAGAGTACCAGTTCAAACTTTTGAGCCGCATCCAGGAATCTTAGGGTTCAACGATGCATCAGAATTTTTTCACCAGAGGTATGATTGCTTGGGTGGACAATGAAATTTGGTGAGTTGCAAAAATATGGGTGCTGATTATGATGGTTTTTGGTGTGAGCACATACGCAAAATTTTGACGTAAAAAGTTTTATTCCACTCGCAAAGTTTTGCAGCTAAAAGCAGTGTGCGGTCAAGGAGCAGCAAATACGAAGACTCTATGCAATCATTCAAAATCCAAACTATAGTTATGGGGAGATCTTTTTCTTGGAAAATATGTGAGTGGTTTCCATACTGAGGCTTCATGTTTTGACAAAGAGATTTTGTCCACTGTTTGATGTGCTACCTTATCAAATGAATATACATTTCGTGGCTACACAGCGTCAAAACATACTGGAATTTTATATTGCCACCGCATCATGTGATACCATGGCAAATCAACAGCTAATCAAGATACAGTGGCTTAGGATGGGTGCAAAGATTAAAAACACGCTGTGCTTTTATCAATTGCAGGCTGGATCGAATTCTCGGACGAAGTAGCGCAAAGGAGGATCTCTCGCCAGAATCTCAGGTTACCTTATCTTCAAGAATCATAAAAATTGAGCAAAAAGTGAGAATTTAGTTTATATTTTTCACCGTATGTTAACTAATATGCTTTATCTTCTTGAGCGTTTATTGGTCGACTTTCTGTAGTTGGGCGGTTACTCAGGAACAGTATTCTGCTATGAGCTTGGCAAACATGGTTTTCATCCACAAAGGAAAATGTCGGTAGCTCAGGTAGCGTAAATGGTCGTTGTCTTATTTGCTGAGCTGGGCAATTTGATTGCAATCGTTTCACCAGTGCGCTCCCCAATAACGCACTAATTATGTCACCTCGATTGGTGATGAAACGTTTGAAATCAAATTGCCCAGCTCAGCGAACAAGCCAACGACCATGGTTTTTATCCGTCTATTGAGGAACTCTGTACGATTTGGCAGTGCAACCGAATAAATGGTCACATTGCCACGGCTAATTCATCTGGAAATATCTCGACACATCTATTGGGTGTCACAATATTTATCTTCCGTTTATTATCAATGAAAACTAATGAATTAGCTTTTCAGGGTGTACTTAGTTCGCAGATTATTCGGGCAGCATCATCGCTGGTGAGTTGCCGGAATGTTTTCTCTGATTGGTCATCAATCGTCGTAGAGGACCTGGTAACTGCCAAGCATTTGTAGTTTCGCTGTTGCATTTCCTAGTGAGCACGGATGTTTTAAATCCAGAGTTACAAACGTCTTTAGATGCATTAGCTCATACCGCTTATTATTTATTTCTCCGTGAAGATATCTACAACTACCGTGGTACGCCCGTTTCCATACTGTTAAAGGTGGATGTAGATATTTCTGCCTAATACCACTCAGTTAGTAAGTTATGAATGAAATAGCGCAATTTAACAGGTTAATGGAGTTGGGAACACCTATGATATGTACTGTTTATCAGGTGACCGCTGATCTGTTTACCGAACGTGGTATTTAACATCCATACGTTTTGTCACCAAAAAAGGAAGACCCAATCAGCGCTCGTATGCACTTAAAAGCTCATTGATGGTGTTTCCTTGATTTGTGTTGAAACGTCTCAAACTTGATAGCCTAGCTCCGCTAACAGACCAACAGTCATCCGACCAAAAATCATTAAACTTACCTGCATGCAGTAGCATGATGCGAGCAGGTTCGTATGTGCGACTTTGTCCGATCGGATAGAGAGAGCGTACTTTGATGCAGTTAGTGTACCATGCACATTGAGTTCTTGATTGTTGCTTCCTTTGACAGAATCAGGTGGAGTTTGGGCGAGACAAATTTTACCACAAAAATTTCAAATGTGGCCCGTTTTTTTCTTGGGGTCCATTGTTTCCAGCTTATGTGAGAATGGTGTCATTTGGAAAGCACTTTGAACACAAGCTACTAATTTTCGAAGCAGTAGTACAACAGTTCGGCAACTGAGTGGAGCCTCCCACCTGTGAACCCGGATTGCCGGCAGTAGAATATAGTGCACTTATTTTTTTTAATAGTGTGCATCAGATTTGGCCGCAACAGCAAGATGATGACAGCTTTTTCCCCTACCAGATCCATAATATGCAGCAATTTATGTTCATATGCCCAGATTGCCACTCTTCATACAGCCTGACTCCAAGAATTATACAGTATCAAGAGAATTTTGGAGGCGGATCACTACCACATATGCCTCCGTATGCTTGGAAACGATCCACGTCATTTAAGGCAAATGTGAGGTCTGATTTTCCGGTTTTTCATCAGCTATTCGATGCCTTAATTAGGATTTTCGTGTCCGGAAAGATATCGTCCTGAGTTCAGCGTGACCTGAATGGGGCCAGATTAATGGATGCACAGAAACCAACATCGTTCTAAGCAGACAGTTTACCGTGGATCCGCATGAATCCTTACAATGATCTGAACATGTGTCCCTTTACTTTATTCTCACTTTGCTCTCACTTCTCTCGTCAGACACTTTGAAGCTCAAGTCACGGATAGTACATAACGTAGTAGCTGTTTCAATTCAGCTTACTGAGACATCATAGCAGTGACTATCCGTGTTCCTTCAAGGTCCCATTACAGGAGGATAGCAGGCTGATATGATGGTGAGCAAAGTGCAGTCATATACGTCATCCAACGTGAAAGATGTAGTACCCCAGTCTATGAGCAAGTCATCGGAACGCGAATGAATTTGCTAACCGAGTGCATTGGCCAAATATCGGACGTGAATGAACAGGCTATGGGCACAAGTTTTAACAAACAAATGTCCACGAAAGACATATGGGGAGAGCGGGAACTTGAGGAGTCAGCGTTCAATACTACAAATGCCCTATCAGGTCATTCGGCGGTACTGCCGTATATGTCACCTAAATATCCACGGCAGTATCAACCGGCCGTTCAGCTAAATAGCCACATTGGCAGCTCAGATGAGTAGTTTTTCCTTTAGGATGTATCATTCTGTTTATGTTGCTATGGCATAACATGAGGTGTCTGGACACCATGCCGACGGAAGCACACAATGGACATACTCAGATATTCTTGTGGCCAGGTCATTTCGAAGTAGAGATGGGTTGTCCAATTAGAGCCACAAAAGGAGCCTTGATTTGAGCGGTAAGTTAAATGAAATACAAGAGGTACGTCCAACTCTCGATAAAAAGAATCAACCCAGTTTTATGCATCTGCAAGCAGTCTTAGATTTCTAACTTTCCAACCACATGAATCTTAGTGCTTGGATATTAGAAAATATTTCCAACCACATTTTCCGGACGATGAATCTTAGTGCTTGGATATTAGAAAATTCAATCACTTCTATGAGTACGGGTAACACAGTGTTAAGAATTCAGCATCACAGAGTGTTGAGGTAAAAAGATATCGCCTGGCCAGTTTTAGAACATTAAACTAACTATTCCGTAGTCCGTAATGTAACTTTGATGGAGTGCCTTTGGTTTTGCACCGCTATTTTGATGTTTGCTGTTTCCGAATTAGGCTGATCAAAATGCGCTTGATTGTAGAGTTGTTTAGGGGACTCTTCATGAGATGCTTATGTTTCAGTTACTTGAACGTCCCAATCAAGTATGAAAAATCTTTGTTTACTTCAAACATTATGTACAGGTCAGCAACATTGAAGCTAAGCTGAACGCACTACTTAACTGCTACTTGGAGAGACAACCCACTGTATATCCTCATAATGGGTCCAGACCAGACTGTTTGACTGCCGGAATCCGTCCAAGGCAATCCGACTGTCTTGATGTGGGACCAACTTTCAGCTGTGTGAATCCACAGCACAGAGTCTCGGATCATAGACCGGTGGAACCAAAGCAGCAAATTGTTTCCGATGGCAAACAACCACCCGAGAATGTCGAAGATTCAACTAATGATGGTTCGGTCGAAGGCGGGAACGTTATACGAAGATGTATGATTAAGTCGCCAACAGAACATAAGCTTAGGGAATCTTCTGAGGATGCCACAGTTCTGAGAACGAGCGCGTCATCCAGCTGCCATCCTAAATCAGCTGCTCACGCCAACACCCTGCCCATCAGAAGGTCGATGAAAACTGATCCGATAGCAGGCCGCAATACCAGGGTCCATTTTTCCATTTCAAATTCAGACCAACAACCCACAACATCGGTGGATTCTGAATGATACATTCAAAATCCGCCTGTGAACACCAGACTTTTTTCTATGACATAATCATCTCAGCCGCGGTTGTAACGTCTGGCGCCGTAAATGTCTTTCCAATTACTTCATCGGTAGTTCACCAGATTTCCGTGAATCGTAGACTATTTCCTCATTTCTTTATACGCAAGTTGGTTGAAGACATGGTCGTTCCACTCAAATTCAGCCAAAAATAAAGCTTCTCAACCCACTCACTTATGAATCAGAGTGAAATGCTCACAGAACTTTTGTACATCTTACCTTTCCAGTCGCATTAACGTGCCAGGAACTTTTATTCTATTCTCTCGTAACAAAAGAACAGTGATTTGGAGGAAAAAACGATTGAAATATAACTGTTTTGCATGAATTTTTTTCGAATATTTCCAGACACCATTCCAAGAAACAACAAAACGCAATTCTACCAGAGTACACATAAAAATGTTAAGGGGAGCGCCCTTGAAAATTAGAGTATTTTTATCTCCGGAACTGCTTATTCAAACCTAGTTACTATTCATACCAAGTGCACCTTTGGACAGGCCTCCTTTTTATGTAGTATGACTGAAAAGTGCTTTAGGTGTACCAGCTTTCGTAACCCAAAGGATTACTTTCGTTTATCAGCCTATCGGGGCTGGGTTTTCAGCAGAGTGATGTCAGGTATTTTCTAGTTCAAATCCTTGCAGACTAGATGGACTTCCTCGTAGTCAGCAGCGTACCGTTATTCTCACCTACACAGCGTTGCATACAAGCCACCTTAAGCCCCC